TGACAGAGAGGCGAGTGGCGGAGGCGGAGTCACCGCAGCCACTCTGCCCAGCTCTGTGGGGCCTGCTAAAGTGGGGGGCCCAGAGTGGTGGCCCCAATTCGCACCCCCAGGGATGGCTCTGAGTGCAGCAATAGTCACTGCAAAAATGTGCAAACTCTGCTGGTACTACTATATTTTTTTCCACATACATGCTCCCAAATATAATAAATACCTAGTTTTTGAAAAGCAGAACAGAGAGAAAAAAAAAGATTTTTCTAGAGTTGGCCGCACAGGACAGAGCCTAATCTTCAAATGACTCGCCCTGCATAACTGAAGCCGAAACCATAGCTACTCCTAAAAAGTAGTCTCCATCGGTGGATCTATGATTTGGAAAAGCACTAAAGAAGGTGGGAAATACATCAGTAACAGGCAGCAAAATTTCCCTAAGAAGTTTAGCCCAGTTAGCAGAGCATCAGGACCGCTAAAAGGGAGAGATGATCATTAACACTTGAAAACAATGATCCTCTCTGCAGCTGAGGGAGTCAGTTGACTTAAACCACAGCTGCTGTACTATGGAGCAGGAATCAAAGCAGGGTACTTTTATTCTGGGCAGAAAAACAGCTCCTCCACTTAATACACACACCCCAATTTTGGAGGAGAAAGGTTCACAGCGTCTTGAAGACTCAGATCAAGTGTAGAGGAGAAAAAAGGATGATATAAGCTCTGCCTGCCTTCAGCAGTGTTTTAGTTGTGCTTAAAGAGCTGCACCTGCAGCTGGCCACCAAGGGTGTTCAGTTCCCAAAACAGGTTGAAGACGTATTATAAGTCAGCCTGATGGAGTAAAGTCAGCTGTGCTACTGACACTGCACCTTACAGAAATGTTGGCAAATTACACACAGGATTTTAGCAATGAGGGCTCATGGTAGAGATGATCTCTCTTATTAGACCTAGATTTCTGCAAAAAAAAATTTTTAATTGCAAGCTTTCGGGCACAAACACCCTTCATCAGGCATCAAAGAAAAGTTTTGCAAAAATCTTGTTGGCCAAATAAAAGATGTCACCTCTACCACGAGCCCTGATTACTTTTTTTCTCTAAACCAGGGGTCAGCAACCCCCCCGCACGCATGCCAAGCATGGCTCACAAGGCCATTTTGCTCAACACACCAAAGCCAGCCCGGGTTCTAAGCAGCTGCTGCCAGCCACGAAGCCCAGGCTGCTCCCAGCAGGCAGCTGGGAGGCTGCAAGCCCTGCTGCCGGCACCTTTCAAGGTAGACATTGTGTTTTTTTCGGCACTGCAGCCCAAAAATGTTGCCTACCCCTGCTCTAGAGCAATGCAACTACAACCTGAACACCTGACACACAGGACTGTACTTGCTCAACACCTGCTAGAGCAGTGGTTCCGGGCCCCTCCATAAGTCTGGGGAATTGAGGCGCACCCTGTTGCAAAGGCTAATTTATCACCTCCCGGCAGAGCCCCCCGCAGACTGCGCAGACTGCGCAGACGCAGACGGCACCCCTCCAAGTACTCACTCGCGCGCTGCAGCCGCCTTCTCCCTGCCGGCACCGTCCAGCTCGCGAGACCTGGCGGTTCCACTTGCGCCTCCGCCCCTCCCCGAGCACTCAGTGACAACACGCCCCGCCCCTTCCGCTCGGCACGTGGCCCCGCCCCAAGCGCCCGGTTGGCTGTGACCCCGCCCCTTTCCTCATCCTACAAACCTGAGCATCAGCTCTGCCCCTTCCGCCTTCCCTGTGGCGTCATTTTGGGCATTTCCATCTCTCTCCCTTGGAGTTTCCGGGAGTCCCCCACGAGCTGGGCTAGAACCCTGCCTGAAGCCCCGCCCACCTCCCCTCAGCCTGGCGGGGCGGGGCGGGGCTGAAGTCCCTCGGCCGCGGAGGGAGGGGGCGGGGCCCCAGCGCCGGGCCCGGACTGCACTGGCCGTTGGGCGGAGGGGAGTCTCGCGAGAGTTGATACCCGGAAGCCGGTTAGAGGAAGAGGAAGAGGCGGGAGTAGAGAGGAAGGAGGGGGCTCACGGCTACGGTTGTTGCAGCTGGCGGCAGCGGGGCGCGGCGCGGCGCGGCGCGGTGCGGCGCGGGGAG